AAAAAAAAAAAAAGAGGAAAGGATGGGAAGAAGGTGGGGAGGAAAGTCGATGAAAAAGAAAAATCACGTGGTCCCATTTTGCAGAGCACCAGGCAGTCATATCTCTCCCCGTGACGGCAGGGGCTGCAGCGATGTGGCCCAGATCCCTTCTCCAGGACCCAGGAAACAACAGTTCCCCAGCCAGGGAGAGGGGGCTGTTGATGGCGCACAGCTAAACCCGTACCTGCAACCTGCCCTTGGTCGAAGGGAGCTGCCTCGTCCAAGTCATAGTGCAAGTCACAGCCCCACGCAGGGCTGGTCAGACGCAGGGGTGCAGAGACCCGAGCACCCTGCCGCACTTCAGGGTATCTTCGAAGGGCCATCCCAGCACCAGTGCTCCCCATGGCAGTGACCAAGGCCTCTACTACCATATCCCAGCTCAGCTTCTCCAATTGCCCAATTCCGCCTTCCTCCTTCCCTCCCTTACTCCTGTTGTTCCTGAGAGCCCTCTAAAAAACCTCCTGCGGGCAAGCCTCTCCTCTGAGCCTATTTCCTGGGAACCTGCCTGAAGACACCTATCCATTTATTTTTATTTTTTATTTTTTTTATTCTTATGTTAATCCCCATACATTACAACATTAGTTTTAGATGAAGTGTTCCATGATTCATTGTTTGTGCATAACACCCAGTGCTCCATGCAGAACGTGCCCTCCTCAATACCCACCACCAGGCTAACCCATCCTCCCACCCCCCTCCCTCTAGAACCCTGTTTGTTTTTCAGAGTCCATCGTCTCTCATGGTTCGTCTACCCCTCCGATTTCCCCCGCTGAAGACACCTATCCATAATGAGAAAGCAGGTGTCAAGGCCACGGCCCGAGCTCTCACCTGATCCCTGAGAGAGATGCTGGGGGGCATGTCCACAGCTGCGGAAAACCCTGGACGTGGGCAGAGGCTGGATCTGTAGCCCTCCACCCTGATGCTCCCTTTGTTCCAGCTGGTGGCCTTCCCTGTCCCCCAGGCCCGTCAAGGACCAGAACCTTGACACTCTTGCTTCTCACCCCTCAAGCTCTGCGTTCAGGAAAGGATGTGATGAACTCAGTCTCACAAAAGAAAAATTAATAACATTAATGTGTTACTGCTTGGGATGGAAAAGAAGCTAGACTTACTTTAAGTTTAAACCAGAAGAAGAATATATGTACAGAAAAACTCCAGATATTTATTTACTCAGATAAAATATATTTAAGAACCTACTGTGCTGAGCTGGTGGCGAGGTAGGTGGATTGTTTCTGGTTGGGGGTGACCACCTCAGCCCTTCGGAATAGACTTGACTCTGTTGCTGTGCATCTTTGACCCAGGTCCCCTGAGGGAGCACCCACTCTGTGCTGATTCAACGGGGCCAGCAGAGTTGATGACTTAACCACAATGCCACAGGAGCAGACACCTATGGGCTGTTTCCGCACACGCCCAGGACTCAGGAAAAATCTAGAGTCTTTTTATATGGAGTTCATTCCACCAGAAAAACAAAGAAGTAATCAGTCCCTCTTTTGCTCAACTCAAAAGCACACTAAAAGCTTTTTCAAGATACCAGGAGATGGTTCAGAAGAGGCAGAAGCCTTTTAAATTCAGTCATCCCTGCTATTCAGCAAAGGTATATTTACCTACTTTTGGACAGATTCGAGATGAAGGGCACACAGGAATAATTCACCAGGGGGATTTTGCTACAGAGTATCTACTCTCTGTCTGAATGATTCTTTAGGTCTACTAAAAAAGAAAAAAGAAAGATGGAAGACGTTGCTTCTAATGTTCTGATGTCTCAGAAATGCACACCGGGAGTTGCTGCTTGTCTTGTCACAGGTGAATACGTAAAGCTAAGAGGCTGCAGGCTCAGTGGAATCAGCAAAAGACTCAGGGACAAAGAATTTTAATTACTGTCTACTGTCTACTGCTGTTACCTTGCTGGGAATCTCTGTATAAGTCACTTAACCTTTCCTTAAAACTCACTTAAAAAGAAAAAAGGGAGATTAATACAGGTTCATTTCAAAGTTTAGTGTCAGGTATAATTAGTAAAATACACAAAACTGTCTATCCTACGTTGTTCATTAATAATTCCCAAAGATAATATAAACTCTCCCTTTGGCCATGTAAATGTAGCTTTTTAAATTGGGTAGATAAAATTTTCATTAATAAAAAAAATAAAATCACTGTAAGGTACACCTGAAACTAACTGGATATTGTATGTCAATTATACTTCACTAAAAAAAGTAAGATTTTACATACTTAGATGAGAATTCTTTTTTTTAAGATTTTATTTATCTTGAGAGAGAGAGAGAGAGTGAGCACACATACGCACGGAGGTGGGTGGGGAGGGGCAGAGGGAGAGGGAGAAAGAGAATCCCAAGCAGATTCCACACTGAGCACAGAGCCTGACACGGGCTGATCCCACGACTCCGAGACCATCACCCGGAGACCATGACCCAAGCCAAAACCAAGAGTCAGACCAGACGCTTAACTGACTGAGCCACCCAGACACCCCTCTTTGATGAGAATTCTTAATCCTTAAACACACACACATACCACGGAAACTACAGGTAGAAAATAGGGTGAAGTCTGACTCACCTGTGATGATGAAAGGGGCTTTCAGGTGCAACCTAAGGCTCTGGGATAATTTACCTTGATACACTGCCGCTGATGACCGAGCATGGCTCCGTGTTGTGCAAGTACTGAATGGCTTTGGAGGTTCCTATTAAAACACTGATTCGAATGTGCCAAGAGAGTGGGGCCGTGTTACCCTAAAAAGACAACAGTAGTTGGTTTGGTAATGAAATGTGTATACTCATTACATAGGAGTATGCCAGAAGAAAAGCAGACGGTGAGGTGGGGTAAGGTGAGGGTATGAACATTTTGGTTTCCCACAACCTATTTGTAATTCAAGATACATTTTCCTCTGCTGCCAATGGTACTAGGCCTTTTTATAGCCAATGGAAATACCCAATAATTTTAACATTAGCTTAATCAAAATATGGCCAGTAAGGTAACTCTGTTTAAAAGTTCACTAATAAGGGGCACCTACGTGGCTTAGTCGGTTAAGCATCTGACTCTTGATCTCATCAGGTTCATGAGTTCAAGCCCCACATCAGGCTCTGCACCCAGTGTGGAGCCTACTTTAAAAAAAGTTCATTAAATAAGACTTAAAAATTATTTGTGGCATAATAGTGTGGGTAATTGAGAATAATATGTTTTTATTCTTACCCTAACCGAGACTTAACCTATTCAGAATGAATTTTTAAACTTATCTTTCAAAAACATGAGAAATCAAGGCATTTATTCCACCTCTTTCTCTTTAAGGAGTCTGTATCACCTTTATGTCTGTCCTTCGTATTCAATGGTACTTTGTGTGAAGTTATGCAAATAGAAATTATCTAAGAAGAGTAGTTAATGTAAACTCATTTGAGATATGGAATCAATAAGGACTAAGGACCCCACAAATCTTTTGGCCACCATGCTGCACAACACACAATAACTCAGGTATTTGTGCAGTCTTTTTTTAGAGTAAGATATTAATTCATGGAAAAGTCCTCTACTTCCTTGGGAAACCCATTGTTGGCTATCTCTTTCTGTGAATACATGTTGGCCCCCTGGATCCCACAGGACGTTTCAGCAGCTTCTTCAGGGCTTCAGGGGGTCAGAGCATCAGGGAGAGTCATAGGTGTGACTTACTACACACTGTAATCTGTCAAAAAGGGATCCATTTCTCATATATGGATAAACCAGGCAGAACTTCTCACTCTCTGTAAAATAGGCAGCCAACTCCAGTATGTTTGGATGATGAAACCTTGAAAGAAAAGATTTTTAAATCCATCAGATTGTTTATTCAAATAGGAAATGAACAGCACTGTGGCTTGGGGGTGATAAGGTGAGATGGGGAATAGGTCTAAAGCAGAATATACATTTGGCCAAGGGAGAAGTTATCTCATTGGACACATGACAGATTTGTTTCCCAAATTGGTCTAAAGAGCTCTATCAAATACTAGCCATTTTTTGATTGATTGTGATCATGCAAATATAAATAAAATATCCAAATATAAGACAGAAAATTTAAGAAAGCGACGATTTCTTAAGATTTGGGAGTCTTGGGAACTTGACAATAAATAGATGACACTACCTGATATTAAATTATGTTTATCAATACGAAACCCAATGTAACTTATTAATAAAGATAATACAACTGAAACTATTTCATTGCTTTAAGTATACTGTATAAGTCACCAAAATAGAAGAGTACAGAAGACTGTTTTCATTCATCCATTCAAGCATTACTATGTCAGATACTGTGCTAGGCATCAGTCACAAAGCTAAAGGAGACATCCAATGTCTTCATAAAGCTGTACTGTTATCTAAAATTCATGTGATTGGGGCGCCTGGGTGGCTTAGTCGTTAAGCGTCTGCCTTTGGCTCAGGTCATGATCCCAGGGTCCTGGGATCGAGCCCCGCATCCGGCTCCCTGCTCGGTGGGAAGCCTGCTTCTCCCTCTCCCACTCCCCCTGCTTGTGTTCCCTCTCTCGCTGTGTCTCTCTCTGTCAAATTAATAAATAAAATCTTTAAAAATAAAAAATAAAAATAAAATTCATGTGATTAGTAAAGTCTGATGTTGAAGAACACATCACTGATTTTGAAATGCCAGAGTTCTATGTCAGTGTAGAATACATTTTCAGCCTCCTTTCCTTTAAAACTCTATTTCTTTTTTTTTTTAAAGATATATTTATTTATTTGAGAGAGAGCGATAGAGACAGAGAGAGAGCATGCAAGCAGGGGAAGGGGCAGAGGGAGAGAGAGAATCTCAAGCAGACTCCTCACTGAGCATGGAGTCTGATGTGGGGCTCGATCTCACAACTCTGAGACCAAGAGTTGGATGCTTAACTGAGCCATCCAGGTGCCCTGAAGCTCTATTTCTTTTTTTTTTTTTTAAGATTTTATTTATTTTTTTGAGACAGACAGAGAGAGAGCACAAATGGGGAGGAGGATCAGAGGGAGAGGGAGAAGCAGACTCCCTGCTGAGCAAGGATCCTGATGTGGGGCTCGATCCCAGGACCCCAGGATCATGACCTGAGCCGAAGGCAGGTGCTCAACTGACTGAGCCACCCACGTGCCCCAAAACTCTATTTCTTGAATGCCTGTATCATCACTGTGAAAACCAGTGAAACCCAGGTAACAACTATAAAATATAAAATGTGAAATTCACCTGTACCATGAACTCAGTTCAAATTAATTATTTATTGAATGCCTACTATGTTCTAGACATACTTGGGGATATTAAAATAAAGCTTTATTTATTTATTTTTTTTAAAGATTTTATTTATTTATTTGACAGAGAGAGACAGCGAGAGAGGGAACACAAGCAGGGGGAGTGGGAGAGGGAGAAGCAGACTTCCCGCGGAGCAGGGAGCCCGATGCGGGGCTTGATCCCAGGACCCCGGGATCATGACCCAAGCCGAAGGCAGACGCCTAATGACTGAGCCACCCAGGCGCCCCAAAATAAAGCTTTTTTTAAAGACTCTATTTATAAAGACTTATTATTAGTTTCTTCAATAGCAAAACTTTCCTCTAAAATGCCCACACACATCTTCAGATTTCTCGTAGTCCTCCTTCCTTAAAGAAGGAAGTGTGTGTGTATGTGTGTATATGTACCTACACAAACAGACATATTTTACTTTTAGATATGTCAAAAATGCCTGTGACACAAGATCCCTACACCTATTATAATTCAGACCATCATTACATAATGAAAAGCAAGGGACTGAAAAGCAGTTGAGCTGGCATATTTGGCTGCCTAAACAGCTGATCTATACCACTGCCTGCGAGTCCTGCACCTTAAAATAATTCAAAAGGATAGAAATCTTTTTAGAAAGAAGATAGCAGTCCTCATATAGACATAGCCATGGCCTGGTGCTCTGCTTTCCTGCTCACAGAGCAGAAATGACCATTTGCTTATTTTTAGGTATTACCAATCCAGCAGAAAAACGGACACTGTACCAGTTAGTGAGGTATGGAACGTGAAGCAGCCATCGAGAAAGACGACTGGCTTTGCATCTACGGACCCTTCTCACCCATCCTTTCACTGCAAATTTTTAAGTTGGTGGGATCTTAGATTATGTAGATCTTAAGGTCTGCAGATACGATAGCTTTAAAATCAATTCGACAAGTACTTGTGAGTGCCTCCTACAGATAAAACACAATACAGGGCACCACGGTGTGGGAGAGCAGACAGACCTGAACGACAGACAGACCTGGGTGTGACTCTTTGGTCTTCTTTTCATCAGCTCTGTGGACTTGGGCAAGGATTTAATCTCTGTGAGCCTGTATCTTTGCTGGGGTCTGAACTGTGTCTCTCCCCCACACGCATCCCCCTCCCCCAACCCAACTCCTATGTTAAAGCCCTAACCTTCAATGTAAAGGTGTTTGGAGAGGCCTTTGGGAGCTAGTCACGGTTATGACTGGAACCCTCACGATAGAATTACTGCCCGTATAAGAAGAAAAACTGGAGAATCTCCTCCCTCTCTCTCCACCATGTCAGGACAGAATTAGAAGGCAGTCGTCTACAAGCCAGGAAGAGCACCCTCACCAAGAACCTAATCTGCCTTGATCTTGGACTTTTCAGGCTCCAGAACTGAGAGAAAATAAATTTTGTTCAAGTCCCCTGTTTCTTTTGTGATGGCAGCCCTAGAAGATGAATATTCTTCAACTGTAAACAATAATTAAGACACCACTTCCCAAGTTTCTTACGAAAATTAAATGAAAAGTTAAATATGTAGCCAAATGCCAGGTTCTCAAAAATTATTACCTCCTTCCCCTCCCCTTGGGAAAGAAAGGAATCAGAAGCCACACCCTAAGGAGTTTACAATTCTGTTTAAGGGACAGGGGTTAAGTAATTCTCTTAATATTGAACTAAAAAAACTCATCTTCAGGTGTCGGCTTAGGTGTGACTTTTTCCAAGAAGCCTATTCTGCTGCCCAGCCCCAGGTTACCATGTTCCCCTCCTTCAGTGCTCTATATGTCTCCATCTTACCACTTCGTTTACTGAAATTGCTGTTTACTTCTATACTTCTCTCCTAACCCCACTCCAGGAAGCATGTTCTGAGAGGAGAAGGCTACATCTGATTTATTCATTAATAAATATCTGAGGAGACTGAAGAAGATTTAGGAAATGAGTTGGATTTTCTCAAAAAGGTAGGATCTACCTCAATTTCCCCATCTCCAAAAAAGGGATGAGGGCAGTATTTACTTCACAGGATTGTTGCGAGGATTAAAGAATTAATACATGTGATGTACTTGGTATAAAGCCTAAAACTAAATAAGTATTAGCAATATAAATAATAATAATAGTGGGGTGCCTGGGTGCTCAGTCGTTAAGCATCTGCCTTTGGCTTAGGTCATGATCCCAGGATCCTGGGATCGAGCCCCGCATTGGGCTCCCTGCTTAGCGGGAAGCCTGCTTCTCCTTCTCCCACTCCCCCTGCTTGTGTTCCCTCTCTCTCTGTCTCTCTGTCAAATAAATAAATAAAAATCTTAAAAAAAAAATAATAGCACACCAAGAATATTCACCATCATAGAGTTGTTAATTCTCTCTACTCATACATAAATACCTCACCAGAACAAATCCAAATGGATCAGATGTATAAATGAAAAAAAATGAAACCATAAAGGTACTTGAAAAAACCATGGTAGAATTATTTTATAACCTTTCACTGGGGAAGGTCTTTGAAACTGTGATATAAAATTCAGAATCTGGGGCGCCTGGGTGGCTCAGTTGGTTAAGTGTCGGCCTTTGGCTCA